CTCCTCCTGGGTCGGGCACGTCCCCCTGCCGGCGGGTTTTGGACGAAACGTTTTAAAAAGTGCTCAAAACGTACAGTCGTCGGCCTGACCTAAGGAACGATACATCAGGAACGAAGCCCCCTTTCTCCAGGGCATAACGCATTAGGAACGATAAATAATACAGAATGCATAAGGGACGATGAATGGAACGACCGAGCCCCTTTTGAAAAGTGAGCGTTCCTTATTCAAGCCGCTCACTGTATTCCGAGATAGTGAAGAAATAATCGGGAATCGGAGACTTTGGATTACTTTGAGACAGGTTCCCCCTGTAGACATGCCCGACCCAAAATCCCCCTCACGAGCCCCAGTCGAGCAGCACGCGGTTCCTGTGAGGCGATCCTGCCGCGAGGGCCCCTTCTGGGGAGGAGGAGGGGGAGGAGGATGGGGAGGAGGAGGGGGAGGAGGAGGAGGAGGAGGAGGAGGAGGAGGAGGAGGAGGAGGGCGATCTGTCCCCTGCCAGGGGCTTGCTCGGTGCATGCTGTCCTCCACCCTGGTCCGCTGCGGGGCGCGCCCCTCCCTGGAGGGGCGAGCGCCCGGCGGGCCGGGCCTCTCGGGCGAGAGGCCCCGCGCCTGCCGAGGATCCTAAAGGGTCCCCAGAGCACACAAATAAATATACACAAATAAGAAGATTCCCCACACTGTCCCCTATTTTCTTGGTTTTTGTCTTCCCCCCCCCCCCACCCCACTTCCCCATAGTTTCCCATGTCTTCCTGGGAGTCGGCGATGAATTGTGTCTGTGTTTTTTTCTCCCCCTCCTGAGATCCGTCCTCTGCCATCTCTCCGCGCGAGAGGCGCAGAGAGGTGCGACGACGGCGTTCGGGGCAGTGTCCAACGATAGTGAAGGGGCCCCATGACACACAGATAAATACACACAAATAAGAAGATTCCCCATCTTGTCCCCTATGTTCTGGGTTTTTGTCTTCCCCCCCACCACTTCCCCATATTTTCCCATATCTTCCTGGGAGTCGGCGATGAATCGTGTCTGTATGTGTGTTTTTTCCCTCCTGAGATCCGTCCTCTGCCATCTCTCCGCGCGAGAGGCGCAGAGAGGTGCGACGACGGCGCTCTGGGCAGCGTCCAACGATAGTCCCAGGTTGAACACTCTGGGTGGGACATCAATCGATTCGAGGGGTGGGCGACGAACCTTCCGACGGAGCTTGCCCGTCCCCCCCCCCCTTCTCCTCCCCCTCCCTCCTCCCCCTCCTCCTTCGCCTCCTCCTCCTCAAACCCCCACTCCACACGTTCCGACAGCACGTGCCCAACCCCCCCAGCGGATCCAAAGGTGGGGCGATTATTGCCCCTCACCATCCGTAGAGGCGACGCACAGCTTGGAACTAAAAAAGAAGCCCTGACAAGAGGTCGCCCTCCATCCGCGTAAAGTCTCCGATTCTGAGGCTTGACGAAATCGTTGAAAACTAAATTGTCTCCATCCTTGTATCTGTTGAAGCCTTTGAACATTTGCGCGGCGCTATAGCGAGAGCGGCATGTTGACAACGTACCAACACCCATCCTTGCAACCGCCGGGCACGCTTGAAGAACATTATGCGGCGCCTTTGTGGGCCCCGGAAACGGCAGGGCCGTTTTTTCACCGTTTCCCCAAAAAATGTCGCTTGAAAATGGAAACGGCAAAAAAACGGCGACCGGAAACGGCAAAAAAACGGCTCCAGGATTGGAACCGGAGCCGGAACCGGTCAAACAACGGCGACGGAAGCGTTAAAAAAACGGCGTCGGAACCGGCAACAAGAACGGCAAAACGGAACCGGTAAAAAAACGGCCCTGTCGTTTCCAGGGCCCACTAAGTGCGGCGCTAACTGCGAAGGCCGCATTTTGAAAACCACTGGCCCCGCAGTCCTGGAACTTCTGGAGACTTGTTCAGGCAACGAGAACGCGCGGCGCTGATGAGAGAGCTGGATCTTGAAATCGACAGACTTTCCGTCCTTGCAGAATTCCGCTTCCACAATGAAAACACAAACAAGCATCTCATGCGAAACGCCTGCCCGGCCTCCGGGTCCACCTTGTGGTGCGGCAGGGCAGAGCTGTTCATAAGAGAAAGGGATGGAGGAGATGGAGGAGGAGGAGGAGGAGAAGGATGAAGAGGAAGAAGAAAAGGAGGAGGAGGAGGAGAAGGATGATGATGAGGAGGTGGAGGAGGAGAAGAGAAGAGAAGGAGGAGGAGGAAGAAGAGGAGGAGGAGGGAGGAAAGGGGAGGACGGGGAAGGACAGGGCCAGGAAGCGAGGGACATCGTCGGAGGCCGAGGAGGGAGGAGAAAGAGGAGGAGGAGGAGGAGGAAAAGGAGAAGGAAGAGGAGGAGAAGAGACGGGAAAATGAGGGAGGCGGAACATGAAGGGAGGAGGAACATGGGGGGGCAGAGAGGCCGAGGAGGACAACAACGAGGGTGATGGAGGAGGGAACATCGACGGAGACCGGGGTCGAGGGAAGAGGGGAGGGGGGTTCCCAGCGGAGGCGCGAAAGGCACACGGGAGACCCTCGCGACGCCCAGCGATCCCCCCCTCTTCCTCTTCGATCCTCCTCGTTAATTTCTGGTCCTCCAACCTTCCTCATCGTCCCCGCCTCCACCTCCTCTTCCCCCCCCAGCCAACTCCCTCTCACCATCCCTCACTGTGCTCTTCGATGAAGCTGTCGTCTTCTTCGTTGTTGTTACCGCAGCCGTCGTCCTCCGCCTCCTCCTCTTCCTCCTCCTTCTCCGCCTGCGCCTCCTCCGCCTCCGCCTGCTCCTCTTCCTCCTCCTCTCATCATGATCATCATCCTCACCACCATCATCAGCAGCATCATCAACAACATCGTCATTACCATCAGCATCAGCATCAGCATCAGCACCAAAACCACCATCATCAGCAGCAGCATCATCATCAGCATCATCATGATCATCATCATCATGGTCATCATCATCATCAGCATCATCATCATCATCATCATCATCATCATCATCATCGTCATCATCGTCATCATCAGTATCACCATCAGCATAAACAACAGCATCATCATCAGCATGATCATCATCAACATCATCAGCATCATCATCATCAGCATCATCATCATCGTCATCGTAATCAGCATCAGCATCATCATCGCGTGCATCAGTATAATCATCACGATCGTCACCACCATCAAAATAGTCATCACCATCTTCATCAGCATCATCATCATCATCGTCGTGATCAGTATCATCAGGAGCACCAGCAGCATCGTCATCATCATCATCATCACCCTCATTATCCTCATCGCCGTCATCATCGCCATCACCATCATCATCATCAGTTTCGTAATGATAATCAGCATCAACCCCATCATTATCATCAGCAGCAGCATGATCACCATCATCACGCATCATCAGGATCATAACCAGTATCACCATCATAATCAGCATCGTCAGCAGCAGCAACCTGATCTTCATCGTCACCACCGTCATCAACATCATCCTCGTCGTTATCGTCGTTAGTGCCATCATAGCCAACACCACTATCATCATCAGCATCAGTATCATCATCATGATCATGATGATGATCATCATCATCATCATCATCATCATCATCATCATCGTCGTCGTCGTCGTCGTCGTCGTCGTCGTCGTCATGATGATCAGCATCAACCCCATCAGTATCATCAGCAGCAGCATGATCACCACCATCATCATCAGCATCATTACTTGTATCGTCATCGTGACCATCATCAGCACAATCATCGTCAGCAGCAGCAGCATTATCATCATCGTCATCATCATCATCATCACCCTCATAATCGTCGCTATCGTCGTCATTGCCATCATAACAAACAGCATTATCATCATCAGCATCAGTATCATCATCAATAGCATCATCAACACCAGGATCATCATCACCGTCATCACATCAGCATCATCATACACACACGTGTCAGCAGCACCATCAGCTTCGTCATCATCCTCACGATCATCATCAACATCATCGGCATCGTCATCGTAACTGTCACACCATCACCAATGCTACCATCAAAATTACCACCACCATGTTCACCGTTACCACAACCACCATTACCAGAATCATCACTAACAACAGCATACACATAGTCATGATCAGCATCATCATCGATCTCTTCTCAGCATCACCGACGGCACAAGCACCACACTCATCACCAGCATCGTCATCATTATCAACGACAGCATCATCATACTCGTCATCTTCATCGTCAACATCATCATCACCACCATCATCGCCACAATCACCATCACCATTATCGTACCCGTCATCACCATCACCTCCATAATCACCACCACCAGCGTCACATGATACTCATCCTCATCAAAATCATCATCATTACCATCATCATCATTATCAGCAACATTATCACCATCACGGTCACCATCGTCATCAGCAGCAGCACCATCATCCGCACCACCATCACTATCATCAGCAACATCCTCATCATCCTCATCCTCATCATCATCATCATCATCATCATCATCACCATCATCATCATCGTCATCATCATCATCGTCATCATCATCATCATCATCATCATCATCATCATCATCATCATCATCATCGTCTTCATCACCATCATCGTCAGCATCAGCAGCAGCAACATCAGCATCAGCATCAGCAGCAGCATCATCATCAGCAGAATCATCATGAGCAGCAACATAATGGTCATCCTTTTGCTCCTCCTCCTCCTCCACCTCCTCCTCCTCCTCCCTTCTCCTCCTCCTCCTCCTCCTCCTCCTCCTCCTCCTCCTCCTCCTCTCCTCCTCATCCTCCTTCTCCTCCTCCTCCTCCTCCTCCTCCCTCCTCCTCCTCCTCCTCCTCCTCCTCCTCCACCTCCTCCCTCCTCCTCCTCCTCCTCCCTCCTCCTCCTCCCTCCTCCTCCTCCTCCTCCTCCTTTCTCCCTCTCTCCTTCCTCCTCCCTCCCCCCCCCCTTTGCGGCGGGGGCGTCGCCGGCCGAGCGAGGGGGGGGGGGCGCTCGCCCGCGCCGGTCAGCCCAGGAAGCTGACGACGAAGCGCTCGATCGGCCCCCACTTGCCGTTGTTCCAGCCCTGGCCCCGTGCCGCGGGGGGCACGGGGAGCCCAGGGAAAAGACAGGAAGGGAGGAAGGGGAAGAAGGAAGAGGAGGGGAGGAGGAAGGGGGGAAGGGCAGGGAGGACTGCGGGGAGGAAGGGAAGGAGGGAATGACGGAGGGATGAAGGGCCCCAGCGGGGGCGTTCAAGGTCGAGCGCCGCCAGTGGCCCAGGATCGGCAGGTGTTGAATTGTTCAACGGTTGCTGTGCGTTGCCGCGGGGGGCACACTGTACAGTACAGGGCAGTTTTTACTACATAGGATGATTTAAAATACAGGATCTTAAATACATGATTAATGTATGAATAAAAATGTATGCATGAACTCATCGTTGTTTTTGATGCTGAATCACTGCATCTTTGATACAGGATCCGCACGCGGAGCGCGTATTAAAAACGGCACTGTAGGAGCTCGACCACGAGAAGCCTTCTACAAGAAACCCAACCCTGAGACCCCAGGACGTCCAGTGGTTTCTGGCGTGGGGGCGTCACGCTTTCCACACGCAAACCATCGCAACCCACGGAACTCGGGACACCCTCGAGGCAAGCAGGGTGTTTCTCGGCATGGCTGCCCGCTGTACAATCGGATTCGGGCCCACTTTCCAGCCTAAACAGCACGCTCTGGTGGCTGATACTCGGGGCATAGTTGGCTTGGATCTGTCAGCTGGTCGATTGCGATCGCTGCAGGAGGCGTGGAGGCGCAGGGAGGGGGAGAGAGAGACAGAGAGAGGGGGAGAGGGAGGCAGGAGGGAGGCGGGATCGGGGCGAGGAGGGGGGGGGGGGGCGAGGAGGTCGGCGACGGCCCCCAGTAGCGGAACCGCCCGGTCCTGCGCGGGGTTGGGCCATCGGGCCTCTGTCGGTGGCGACTGGGCAATCGGGGGTCGACGCATCCCCCCCGTGGCCTGTCCCCTCTAGCGCTGCCCCCGGGGAACCGGGCCGAAAACAAACCTGCATGAGGGCCAGGCGGGTCTGGCGAGGATGCATCGGGCGCCGCGGCTGGTTCCAGAGCGTTCCGAGGGAGCGCGAGAGCTCGAGTCCTGTTGAGACCACATGGCGCACGCTACGTGGCCGGGTGGGAAGGGGCGTGGGTTCGCTGGCACATCACATAACACAGTCGTGCCCGGCCGCTCGTATGTTTTTCTGAAGCAAGAGCCCCTGCTGCTGCGTAATCTTCGTACTCATGTAGCGAAATGGCCCTGGAGCTGCGATCGCCGCAAGGCGTGTTGACACCTCAATGCCCGCTCCCACCACGCATGCTGATGCAGCAACCTGCGCATGCACCACATCGTTTGTGTACGTCACAATGACTGGGTGCATGGCAGTGCTCCTGTGCACCACAGCGCCTGTGTACACAACTGCGAACGCGCACGCCACAACGCCTTTGAACACCACAGCTGCGGCCACACGAACACGCTCTGCGTGCACCACAGAGCCTGTGTGCAACACGATCCGCGCGCACACCACAGCAACCGCGCGCAGCGCGGCGACTGGCGCCTGCGTGCACCACACTGTCCATGTACACCACAGAGCCCGCGTAAACTTCGACGGTCCCGACGAGGCGACTAAACCGAAACTCGTGTTCGTGTGGGTGGCTGGGGGGGGCTGAACGTATCACATTTAAGATCGAAGTTCTTTATGGTTATTCTTTGTTGGCCGCCTGGCTACCACTCTGGCAAGCTTTTCGAGCTTTGTGCCGCGGCTTCGTCGGAGGAGGCCCTGGCCCAATAGGTGCCCAAGAGGGTTCCGACGCGGCTCAAAACGGCCCCGAAACGGCTGAAGAAACGCCCAAGACTGCCCAAGGGGCTGCCAAGAAGTGTACCACCAACCGACAGTTCGAGCCTCCCGCTCCCAGGCGGCCCCAAAAGGCGCCAGGGAAACCCCATGCGAGATGCAACATCAACCTAAGAGCGCGCCCAAGAGGGCACCACAAGGCTCAAATTCCTCCTTTCCCCTCATTGCCCCCCGCATCTGCCCGTCGTCCTCCTCGTCCTCCTCGTCCTCCTCGTTTTCGTGTTCGTCGCTCCTCCTCCTCCTCCTGCTCCTGTTCCTGCTCGTGTCCGTGTTCGTGCTCGTGGTCGCGCTCGTGCTCGCGCTCGTGCTCAAGCTCTTGCCCCTGCCCTTCTTCCTCCTCCTCCTCCTCCTCCTCCTCCTCCTCCTCCTCCTCCTCCTCCTCCTCCTCCTCCTCCTCCTCCTCATCATCATCATTCATCATCATCATCATCATCATCATCATCATCATCATCATCATCATCAATCATCATCATCATCATCATCATCATCATCATCATCATCATCATCATCATCATCATCATCTCATCTTCCTCCTCTCCTCCTCCTCCTATCTCCTCCTCCTCCTCCGCCTCCTCCTCCTCCGCCTCGTCTCTCCTCCTCATCCTCCTCCTCTCCTCCTCCTCCTCCTCCTCCTCCTCTCTCCTCCTCCTCCTCATCATCATCATCATCATCATCATCATCATCATCATCATCATCATCATCATCATCATCATCATAATCATCATCATCATCACCACCACCACCACCATCATCATCATCATCATCATCGTCGTCATCACAATCATCGCCATCATCATCATCAGCATCATCATCATCATCAATATCATCATCATCATCATCAGCATCATCATCATCAGTATCATCATCATCCGCATCAACATCATCATCATCAACATCAGTATCATCAGCATCGTCAGCATCATTATCATCATCAGCAGCAGCATCATCATCAGCACCATCATCACCATCTTCATCATCATCTGCAGCATCCGCATCAGCATCATCATCATCAACAGCATCATCCTCATCCTCATCCTCACCCTCATCCTCATCCTCATCATCATCACCCTCTTCCTCCACAATTGCACAATAAATACTTTTCAAATCCTTCCCTGTGTGGCATCCAAGAGATATCCGGACCCCCTTTCCGCGCACGGGGTTTTTACACAGGATTCCCGGGAGTTGGGTTTCGCATGTTTTTTTGTTCAAAATGCTGTTCCCGCTGAGACGATGGCCTCATTTTCGGGTTACCGCTCATTCCGAATCGTGTTCCCGCTGCAGCGTTGGCTTAATATCCGCGCTGCCGCTCGTTCCGAATCGTGTTCCCTCTGCGGCGTTGGTGTCATTATTTCCAACGCCGTGTCATGGCATGATTTTCGGTCCGTCCAAATAGGCCCCAGAATCTGGAAAATGGCCGACCAAAAAAAAACATCATAAATGCTCACCCATTCGGTGCCGATTCTTTGATTTTTTGACCGCAGAAGCCCCCCCCTTTGGGGGCGTCGCCACATCATGTTATGTCATGCTACGCGTTGGTCTTCAACGCCATGCTATGATATGGTAAGAGACGCCATGTTGCGACATCCGTTTGTGGGAATAGAGAAACGGTCTACGCCATGGTAAATGGTGGGAGGGAAGGGTAGGACGTCAGATATGACGCAGGCGCACCAGGCTCGTCCTCCCCCCTTACTCCTCCTCCTCCTCCTCCTCCTCCTCCTCCTCCTCCTCCCCCTCCTCCTCCTCCTCCTTCTACTCATCATCATCATCGCACATCCCGAGGCACCAGAGGCAATCCACGAGTTCAATATGATAATGACATTGCTGTAGCAAGTCGACCTCTGAAACAGAGGGTCAAACACACAACACGATATGGTTGGTCTTCCTCAAAAGCATTGAGGGCATCATGCACACTAGGATATGGAGAACACGGTCAACGTACATTGTGCAAGAACGAAAGCAGTGAAAGCGTGAGACCTGAATGCCAAGAAACACAACACCCTACATGAGGACAATCACTGCAGCAAGCGACAACCAGTCAGGCCACGTTCACTGAGATCATATGCCGAATGCGAAAGACAACCACAAGAGCAACAGTCAGCTACGATTGCTTGCAGTCGCTGGCAGAAACATCTGAGGCACCCCAGTCCTTGGCCCCGAGAGCTTCCCGTCCGAAGAGGTCGATCTGCTTGCGCTTCCGAACGAATCGACGGTCTGAGTATGACGCTGCCGACGCCTTCCACTCCTCCAGCTCCGTGGTGCGCTCCGAGATGTAATCGACGCGCTTACGACGGCGGACGAACGAAGAGGAAGAAACCGCCGATGGCGACCACATTTGCAGCTCCACAAACCGCTCGTTGATGTAGACGCCCCACGCGGCCGCAGCAGCAGCACCACCAGCAGGGCAGGCATCCCCCACAGGGGCCCGATCTCTCGCCTGCTCACCCTCAGAGCCGTCCTCCGTGGGGGGGCACCCCATCGGAGGGATGCTCGGCGCCCCCACCTGCAGCATCGGGCATTGGAGCCCCGACGGCAGGCGGCGCCACCATTTTCCTGCTCTGCGGCATCGGGTATTTCACGAAGCAGGTCGCGCCGATGGGCACCGAGGAGAATGCCACCGAACCGCAAGTACAACGGTGGCCCATCGCAGTTGTGCTTCCTCCGATCGGAAACCAGCGACCCTCCCCAGGAAAAAACTCAGCAGCATCGCGACGTAGAGGAACGGGGGCAATGTGTCGTTCCACCGCAGCCTCCGCCAGGGTCCGCTCGAGGTCCGCAACCCAGAGCGCACTCACTGACGGCATGGGCGGCAAGGCAGGACCATGGGATATCGCCTGAGCCTTCGATTGCCGCTGGATGGAGTTCAGCTCGGACTGGGACGCCCTCTCCAAGACTTCAGCCTTGACATTGAAACGATGAGATGCCGTGTTGCGCCGCGCCACCTGCAGCTTGCTCGGCAGCCTGCCCGCAATCGCTGCTGCGAGCACGGGTGCCACGAGCCTGAGCGGCGCCGAGAGCTCGGAGTCGTCCCCGAGGACCGCCTGAAGCTCCTCAAGCTGCTCCTGAAGAGACGGATTCTCCTGCGTCAGCCTCTTGACGAGGTTGTCTGCAGACTCGATGGCACGCGCTCGCCGCTGTCGCCGTGCAGTAGCCGTACGTTCAGCATACTCTCGCCACTCACCCGGGGCGAGTCCCGCAGCCACCAAACACCCCAAACCCGGCGCCATGAGCTAGCACATAGAGCCGAGATGTTGGGGGTGTTGCAGCATTGAACCAAAATGGCTACGGTCCTCCTCCTTCTATTCCTTTTCTCTTCCCCCCTCCTTCTCCTCCTCCTCCTCCTCCTCCTCCTCCTGTTCCTTTTCCTCGCCATCCTTCTCCTCCCCATCCCCCCCCCCTAACGCCCAAGGTCCGCGGCACTGGTCGCAAATCCTTCCAAACTGATCACTGCAGGGTCTCAGGGTGGTCAAAGCGCGGTGGTCGGCGCGGTGGTAGTACAGGAATGGTTCCAAAAAGTTGCGGCGCACCAGTCGACGGAACACTGCTCCCCACCTAGCAGGCCACCAAAAAAAAACTCTGCGCACCCGTGTGTAGGCGTACGAGTGCACCCCCGTGCTTGTGCACGCCTCCAGCATGTACATCACAATGCCCGCGTACACCACAAAACCCGCGTACACCTCCAGGTGCCCGACGGTGTCAAACTCCAACAAACCATGGCTGGCCCGAACGTATCAAATTCAATATGCAAGTTGTTTGCACCCCGTTGCTTGCGCGCACAACCGTACCAGTGTATACCACAATGGCAGACACCACCACGACTGCTGCCGCAGCCGGCGTGTGCGCTATGCACACCGAACTGTTTGTCGTTTGCAGTGTGAGTGGGCCACCGCGCCTGTGCGGGGGTCACAACAGCCTGCGCGCGCCACGCGTCTCTACATACCGCAAGCACATGTCTGCGCACATTGCAAACACGTTGCACACGCACTACGAACAACATGATTGCGCGCTACGCAACAGGCGCTGCTGCAACGGGGGTGCGTGGGTCGGCGTGGCGATCTGTTATCAACTGGGTTGGCGGGTGGGTTGGAAGCCACATAACGCGCGATAAACTGCAGCTCCTCCGACAGCGCTCCGAGAACCTAGACTCTTCAAGTCCGCGGGCGCCAAGCGGTCAAAGACAGTCAGACGCCGGTCAGCAAGCGGTGGGGTGCATCCGGAGAGCATTTCGGGGGGGATGGAAGGGCAGGATGGCACACGGTCGGGTAGAGAGTCAGCTCATGCAACTGGTTTTCCTTGCGCCTCCCGGCGACGGGAGGCGCCCACGCATCGAGGAGTGGGTGCGGCGTCGGAGCCGAAACCGGGTGCATGTAGCAGATTTCGCCCGCCCCCCCCCCCCCCACCTCCCCCTTTCCCTGTCCTGCCCTTGCGCCCCCCAGGCAGCGGGGGGCGACTCGGGCGATACTGAAGGTGCCCAGGGACACACAAATAAATAGACACAAATAACAGGATTCCCCATATGGTCCCATATTTTCTGGATTTTCGTCCTCCCCCATACTTCCCGTGCTCTCCCATATTTTCTCGGGAATCGAGGATGACTTGTGTCTGTGTGCTTTCCCCCCCCTGAGATACGGGCTAGGCCTAGGCTGCCCACGGGAGCGAGCAGGCCTGTCAACGCATGGGCCAGCTCGTTCTGGGCATCGCTCGGACGTCCATTCCCTGTGTTTTTTGTTGGTTTTGTGCGTGTTTTTTTCGCCAAGTGATCAAGGATGCTCCTCGATGCTCCTCGCCGAGGGAAAAATGCACACGTCCGAGCGATGCCAAGCGTTTGGGCCCAGCGGGTTGCGGCACGCGCCTCCGGGCGGTGCGTGCCTCGGGGCCGTCGGCCCAGCGCGGCGCCCCTCTGCCCTGGAGCACAGCGGCACCCTGTCGCCCGGCCCGGGGAGTGAGGCTCCAGAGTCCGGGAGCAGGAGGAGGAGGAGGAGGAGGAGGAGGAGGAGGAGGGGCCAGACGCACGACGATGTGCCTCTTCAGACAAGCGCGTTGGCGCTGCACTGCGCGCATAGTAAAACTGCTCGCAGGTGGCCTCTGGGTCCGCCGCAAAGGGGCAGCTGCGATCCGTGGCGTCGAGGCAGTCCGTGTGCTTTCGAGACCTTTGCGAGCAGGCAGTCTGCGAGTAGTGTCAAGTCGGGCGTGTCCCCCTACAGGGGGATTTTCGACGAAGAATAGAAAGTACCCCTAAACTGCTCCAGAAAGGTAAAAAAAACACTCAAAAAATAGTCCCCAGGCTGTTTCTTTTATTATTATTTTGGGGGTATATTTTTTTTGTCGTCGAATATCCCCCGACTTAAGGGCAGTGGAACGCACTCGGTGACTCTTCCCCTGCTCGGGCCCAGAGCTCTGGGCATCCCCGCCAGCCAGCGGCAGCTCCTCGCACCCCGGGGCCGTGCCTCGTGGCCCCGGGGACCTGCAGCGGCTCCCAGGGGCCTCCGCCGACCCTTCGGCGTGTGTGGCACGCTGTCGTCGTCGTCGTCGTCGTCGTCGTCGTCGTCGTCGTCGTCGTCGTCGTCGTCGTCGTCGTCGTCGTCGTCGTCGTCGTCGTCGTCGTCGTCGTCGTCGCCAGTCCACTGAGGGCACACGTCCACTCCTGCAGCCCCACCTGCGCCATCAAGCGCGCGACATGCTCTGTCAGTGGCCTGTCGCTCGTCGTCGCCAGGCCTTCACAATAGGTCGTTGGAGATCCGGGCCCAAGCATCCGAGGTGCACATTCCTTCAATACGGGGTCCCCTCCACGAGTCCCGAACCTTTCCACAAGGCTGAGTTTTTCATCCTGGGCAGTTGCTTCAAAGTCGTGAGCCGCCGCTACGGGCCCCCAGGGGGCGAACACAGCCAAAAGCTTCCTGGGGCGTGCTTTTTGTCCTCGCCGCGAGGATGTCTGAAGGAGCCTCCTGGAGCGACTAGCCCTCGTCCTCAGAGGCACCCAGATGGGGTCCGAGCACATGGGGTCGGAGTATCGAGCCGCATCGGCGATGCACTGGCGATGCGGCTCGGTGTGGAGCCCAACTTTTTCCATGTCGACGCGGCCGATGCATCGACGATACATCGGCGATGCGGCGCCATCCTCCGACCCCATGTTCTGCAGTCCATCTGGGAGGCCTGAAGACTTGCCCTCAATCTTAGGCCTTGGAAGTGGGCACCAACATCGATACGGGGGGGGGGCCTCCGACGGGGGAAGATGATACGAGATGTTGGTGCTGGTGGTAATTTCTCCACCGCCCAGGAAGCCCGAACATGACCACGATCACCGAGATCGGGCTACGTAACCTTCCCTCGTCGGAGGCACACCGCCGATATTGGTGCTGGTGCTCACCGCTAGACCTCCGAGACTTGCCCTCATCCTGGACCTTTCTAATCCTCCCTGCGACCGCTGGGCTCCCGACGCTCCCCCGCGCCGCCCTCGCCCGTCGGCCGCTGGAGAGTGGGCCAGTGAAACCCTCCTGGCCGCCTGGCCTGCCCCCCCCCCCCGCGCCGGGTCGTGCGTGCTCTGCTCTATGCGCACCATTAGCTTGCCATTGACAATGGACAGCTGAAGGGGGGGGCAAGGGAGGGAGGACGAGGGAGGGGGGGGGGAAGCACACACCCGCACACACACACACTCACACTCACACTCACACTCACACTCACACACTCACACACACACACACTCTCACACACACGCACACACACACGCACACACACACACACACACACACACACACACACGCACACACACACACACTCACACACACACACACGCACACACACACACACACACACACACACACACACGCACACGCACGCACACGCACACGCACACGCACACGCACACGCACGGGTGCCCTGCCCACAACTTGCACTATGCGGGGGGGGGGGTGTCGGGGGGGTCGGCGCGCGGCTCCCCCAGCGCTGCCGGAACGGCACGGAAGGGGCTCCCTCCCCCCCGCCCCCGGCCCCGCTCAGAGTACACAACTGACACGGCGGAGGAGGAGGAGGAGGAGGAGGAGGAGAACGGACGAGGAGGAGGAGGAGGAGGAGGAAGAGGAGGAGGAGGAGGAGGAGGAGGGAGGAGGAGATTTTGGAGGATGTTTTGGAGGAGGTGGACCAGGAGGAGGAGGAGGAGGAGGAGGAGGCGGAGGAGGAGGTGAAAGGGGAGGAAACGGCGACGGAGGAAGGAGAAGGATGAGAAGGAGTTTTTGGGGCCAGCACCCTCGCCGCGTGGATGCACAGGGTGACGTGGCATGAGCGAGCGCACCCAGGAACACCAGGCGTGAGCAGTCACGAGCAAGACCACCACAGCGCACCTCTGGCAGAACCCGTACAGTGGCTCGCACAGAAGCCACAGCCTGGCGTGGGGGGAAGACAGCGAGTTTGAATCCAGCGCGGTCGGGGCTGCTGAGCGCAAAACAGAAACACGGGACAAGCTGGCCGCCCGAGCTCCCGTGGCGCCCTCCCATGGTTTGAAAGCGGTCGCACACGACGGAGCTGAGATCTGGCATCCTCTTCCGTGGGGGGTGGAGGGAAGATCGTCAAGCCATGGCCCAGCATCGGGCCAAACGCCGGACTTGGGGTGAAAACCTGACACGACCTGCGACCAAGTCTCGCGGACGCTTCTGGTTGGTGGGATGACCCACGCACCTCTTGGCAAGGTTCCGAGCTTGACCGCCGCTGGCATAGCACTTGCACTTTAAACAGACAAGGGAATACCTTCACCATCACTATTTCAAGAGCAATGGGCCTGTGGAGGTTGTCCCTCAACGAATCTCCAGCCAAGCCTCTGATGGCAGGCGCGCCTTTGCACGTACTCGGGCTGGGTCTCACGAGTGTTTTCGAGGACCTCCCGCAAACAGCACTCAACCAAAACCTGCCCTCCCAGTGTCAGTCGTGGCCGGGACCAGCAGGAGGCTCGGGAAGCAGGCGGAAGCTTGCGCCTTTCGAGATCAGACAGATCGGCGCGCGGCGACAAAAAAGGGCGTGACGTCAGCTGACGAAGAGAAGACAAATCGAGAATTCAACTCTGAACGCGCACGCCCGTCTCTCTCAGCAGAAGAAGGCTGGGGGTGTCTGGCGGCAGCACGGCGAGCGGCAGCATCAGCTAAGCAACTGCCTCTGAGGCGAGGTCAGGAGAATCGTTTCGGTGGCCTCCCCACCTCTTGATGTCCCCAGGAGCCTGACCCAGCGCTTGGGACATAAATCCAGCATATGGCCGACGAAACGTGGTCCTGGAATACAACGGCTCTGCAGCCTGTCGAGCAATTTTCAAGACTCAGAGGCATGGGTTGTCCTCGAGTGCGGTGATCACGTAGGCAGCAACCTCCGCAGCTTTGGGTGCCTGCGGGGGAAAACACCAAGGGTCCCGAGATGGTAGCCAATTGGGCGCCGTGGGAATCAACTAGGATGACCGCCCCCCCACTCCGTGGAGAGCTCCGGGGAGACCTCGCGGGAACACGAGCCATCGACGAAGACGTGACCAGTGCGCTCCGTAGACTGGGAGGCGGGCTCTTCGTGCCAAGCGGCCTCCCGCCCTCTGGGGTGACCATCCACAGTAGCAGCTGGCACATCGGAAGAATCAGCTGGGTCTTCGTAAAGGCCTCGGGCGGAGAGCAAGCAAACGGGCTACGCAGCACGTCCCAAGTGCCGCTTCAGCAGCGCAGGCGACATGAGGGTGAGTGGCAGCTCGTTCCCGTGCTGGTCCACGGCCAGGGTGAACGAAGGCATCTTCCAACCTGTCCTGTGCAAACTACCTTCATGGCGGAGATGAGTCCTGCGATCTTCTTCCAAACTTGGGCCTCCCGGATCTGTGGCCAGGTGAGGGTGTGGGGGCAGCTTCGAAGCCTCAAAGCCCACTTCTCCTTGGAGTACCGAACGATGGGGGCCACGAGCCCATGAGATGAGAGACCTGGACCCTCATTCTGGTCAGAGGCATCTCCCAAAAGCTCTCCTAGTTAAACCCATTCATGGTATGAGGTCCCGTGGACCTCGGCTCCGAAGTAGTCTGGTAGCGGTCCAAGAACAAAAAGTGCTATGCTGTGCTTACCTTAGGCCTGAGGCAACATATGAAACCTACTGGTTTTTACCTTGAAAAGGCTGGTTCAACGGTTGAATAGCCCGGCCTCTTCGGGTCCTTCCAGCAAAGTGGTCAATACCCTGGTTGGCTGTAAAAAATGGCGAGCTGGCGTCCAACCAACGATCCAATCTTGCTCATCAGGATGCGGGCAACGGTCTTGGTGAACGCCACCGCGCAAACTTTCTCCGCAGAAACGTTACCGCCAAAGTCGTGCACAATGGCTGCCCCCAGCATGCCGAATCTTCTGTGGGATTGTGAAACACTTGAGACTGCGTGCTCGATGCTCCCGCACTATCATCGTCTATGAAAATATACAAGGCGTTTGGCAAACGGAGGTTGTCGAGCGAACCCAGGACAACTATTCGGACCAAGGTAGCAGCAAACCAGCAACCCGCGATGATATCGTAGTCGGCGAACGCTGGGCCAGCAACTAGGCCTCCCAGGACAACGAAGCGAGGCGAGCGGTACACAGCAATGACGAGCGAGGCGACTCCAGGACTGAAAGTATACATACCACACCCCTCCAAAAGTCGCGTAAGGCTGATGGCCTCGAACAAATTCCAATTTGGATGCTCGTTCTGGGGACCTTCCTGGAGCCACTCGCTCCACTCTTGCGTCGAAGCTGCGTCGAACGTCAGTCGATTTGGGTCGACCCTGAGTCGAACCTGAGTCGAACCTGAGTCGAACCTGAGTCGAACCTGAGTCGAACTTGAGTCGAACTTGAGTCGAACTTGAATCGAACTGGGGTCGAACAGATCCGTTAGGTGGGCTCCAGGAAGGTCCCCGAAACGAGCATCGAATCCAATGGTCCCACACAAGCATAGCAGAGGCTCCACCCAAGGCGACAGCGCCCGCGGCAAGAACAGTCCGGCCCCAAAAACGACGTCCGTGCACCAGGGAAGCCCTGATGGCCGCAAGATATGGTCGGGCGTGAGTTTCCTCCAGCATCGCAGCGTACTCCAGATTTCGTAATAAAAGGGAGGGGGGTCTCATTTCGGGGGGGGTCTCTTCCAGGCCATCCTGGAGGGCCTGGGGGGGTCTGGGGACGATGTTTGGGAGGGTTCTCCCACGGGGGGGGGTCTGAAATGGCTCGTCTTGGAGGGTCCAGACCCCCTCCCTTTTACTACGAACTCCGGAGTAACCTTTCTAGCCCTTCCTCACCGCCGATACGGGGAGCAGACAAACCTTGGGGCGGTTGCCTCCTGCGGCGTTGGGTATAACATCGACAGCTGCGTGAGACTCGTCGGGGCTCGCCCCAAGCGGATGGCCTCCATTGCCGAGCATGCCGATGAAAAGGCCGTAAGGAGCTTCGTCTGGCATAAGAAAGAGAAACACCCCATATAAAACCACAGGCAGCAGCAACAAGTGCGTCTGAAAAACGCACGGCCGAGACCTGAGATGTCATCAGGGGGGGAGGAGCTCCAGTACCAACATGACTTCGAGGGCGTCGCGGAGCTTCGGGAGGGGTGGGGGGCGTGGGCAGACTTCAAACGGGCGACGGGGGTCCGCAACAATGTTGCCAGAGTCGTTCGAAGTAGTGGTGGGGGCCCACGGCGTACAACCTAGAACTGCAACTGTGCGTCTGCCCAGCCCCTCCTCCACATGATGAAATAGCAAACTCTTCCATCCAGCGAGACCGTCCTGCTGTGCATCATGTTCTGCTGCGGCCAATGGTATGCCAAGATTCGCGCATAGGTCCGCATGCTGGTCAGGCAGGTGTGGCACAGAGAGGGCGGGATGCACTTCCTTGCCCCATCGGTAAGATTGAGCCAGTGGCTCTGTGAGAAACTGCGTATGGGCACGGAGGGCGTCACGATACACGTCGGCAAGAGTGGTGTCGCTGGCATCGCTGCACATGAGATGCTACCTGAGGCTCAAGATCAACCACTGAAGAGAATAGCAAGTGAGATGGCGAGCTGGCGTGAGGCGGTCCTGTTCCAAGCTGGGGGCCCAACGCAATCGAGAGATCTCACCTCGAGACCCCAGACATGGCAACGATGCTCCCGTGGCAAGCAGAACTTCCCTCTGAGCCAGATTCGCCCATCCCCTGCAGACGTCATTGAGCTTGGCTCGGACAGTGGGCACATGCCCCAGTGCTAACAAGGTCGTCACGATCCTTGCGCAGCCCAGGAACCCCAGCCCTGTTAGGCGGCATAGTAGCAGAACCGCTGATGGGCTCCTTACCTAAAGGCGAATGGGGGAGGGCGGCGGAAATTACGGACGCACAGCTGCCCAAGGTGGGGGCGGAGGGAGGGAGAGGGAGGGAGAAGGATAACGAGGAGTACGATGGGAAGGATGTGGAGGGGGAGGGGGACGAGCGAGGAGGGGCGAGTGTGGAGGAGGGTGGAGGGAGGAGAAAGAGGAGGAGCAGGAGGAGGAGGAGGTGGGTGAGTGGGTGGGTAGGTTGGAGGGGGGAGGGGGCAGAACGTGAGGGAGAGGTGGCGAGGGAAGGGGGGAAAGAAGGGAAGAGCGAGTATGGAGGA